TGTTAAAACACACGAGGAGACGAGACGGCTTTGTTTTCGTCGTTTACAAAACCAGTGACTGACTGGTTCTACATATAAAACTGAAGAAAATAAGACCCTGGTTGTAGCTGTAGTAAAATTAGTATGGTTGTTTTAAGTAATGTTATTTAATGTTAATAAATGGAACAATAGAAGTAGCTAACGATAATGGTAAAGAAAAAAGAGAGATCGCGTATGTAAGTGCGCACACGTTAAGACATATCGTCATTACTCTACATAAGAATATGAAAGGAACACTTATTTACCGTTCATATATATATTTTAATTAATGTTTCTGATTTTCTTTTATTGAATTAATGTTTGTGTGCACAAAATGAACAATACAATTCATTAATACTACGTGGAATATTAAAACACACGAGGAGACGAGACGGCTGCGGGCATTGTTTTCGTTAATGGTTACAAATAAGACCCTGATTGTAGCCGTAGTAAAAATGTAAAAAAATTAATATGGTTGTTTGAAGTAATGTTATTTAATGGAACAATATAAGTAGCTAACCATTAATGGTAAAGAATAAAAAAAAGTGAGACTGCGCATATGTAAGTGTGCACATGTGAAAACATATCGTCATTAGAGAGAGAGAGAGAGAGAGAGAGAGAGAGAGAGAGAGAGAGAGAGAGAGAGAGAGAGCAGCCGAACTGCCGGATGTAAACAAACCATAATTTCCCGCGGCTTTGTTTTTTTTTTTTTACGGGGATTAGCCCACCCGGGCATAGGTCACTGACCCACATTGGGGCCTAAGGGGGCAAATTTAATAATCCTGAAATATATATACAGGTTTACTGTTTATTTTCTTACTTCATTTTCATTAGTGAGTTGATATGATAATCATTTTTTGTGCAATTGCTTCGCTTGGTAGATACAGTAATTAGATGCCTTTTGTCTTCTCAGCAGTACTGCGGTGATGACATCTTATCCCAGGATGTAAACATCCAATCATGTTGACATATTTCAAAACGCTCCCCGCTCGGGCTTGATCAACGCCAATGCTCGGTGGGTGCTACTATAGCATGCGGTCTACAAGATATTTAGTTAAGCTTAGATTAGGTTAGGTCAGGTAAGGTTAGACCAAAGATATCTTTGAAGACCGCATGCTATAGTAGCACCGCTCAGTGTATGCTTAAGAACCGTTTGGTATGGACGACTGCTCTTAAGCAGGGCTGTGGAGTCGGAGTCGAGGAGTCGGAGGAAATTTCGGCTTGTGGAGTCGGAGTCGGTAAAATTGTCCAGACTCCGACTCCGACTGAAGCTATTCTGTTCCTAAGAACAAATATATGAACTCAGGCATATTCATTGCAGTGATTCCACTGATCCCACTAATTTTCTTAAATTATTAAAAGAATTTATTTCCATTTTATAAGCATTATTATGAATTTATTGTAGCAGGCACAGTATAGCACTATAATTTTGGACGATAGTCTCTTCTTTACCATTTGAAATTTTGAATTATATCAAATTTTGTTTCGTTGAAAACTGCACAGAGGCTCTCAGCTACAAAACAATTAGCTACAACCTGTTTTTGGTGAGATTAAGGCAAATTTAATTTAATAACTTAATCATGTAAGGTTTATCCATTTTCCTTAATAAGGTATTCATTTCTTTAATGTACATAAATATATAACTTTACTTTAAAAGGAATTGTAGGATCATCATTTAGATCCACATCAGATTATGAGCTTAAACAAAATTCATATGCTGAGATCGAACTTTTAGATATACATGTAAATGGTGTTTTCTAGTTAATATCTTGAATTCTTAATAAATTTATTTTTCTTTTGATTGAAACTTTGAAAGTCAAGCCTATCATCTTTTTGTAGTTCTTAAATATCGTCCAGATCATTAATAAAGCTGTAGCAGTATAGCCACGGTGTTTTACTTTTTACCTATGCAGGTTACAACATACAAATTACAATTAGGATGGTAGAAATAGTTGTTACAAATAGGCCAAGGAGTCGGAGTCGGAAGCATAAAAATTTGAGGAGTCGGAGTCGGAGTCGAAGGTTTTGTCTTCGACTCCACAGCCCTGCTCTTAAGTCCACAAAAAAATTAAAATTACACTACATCACAGTAAGTTCTTTGTTTAATATATACTGGGGGGTCCAGGGGGCTGCAAGGAAGTTATTAAGTAAGGTTAGGTAGGTTTGTTTGGTTAAGTTTCTAACTAACACTTCTGCTGCTTGTTTTTCATATCACCTAAGGTTAGGTTAGGTTTAATTTAGAAATAACTACTTTTTAACACATTTGCACAAACTATGACAGTGTGCACTATAGAACACAGTGAAATTGCATCATTTTTATAATTGTTTTCTATAAAAAATCAGCCACGGGTTAGTCGTCAACAATTACCGGTAGGTTCTATGCTGTAGTAAATGTCGCCTCTTTTATATTGATAAGTTTCCATGCACAACAGAAATATGGTTAGGTATGTTTACAGCTGCACAATGATCAACTAATGACTAAATAGATGCCAAATGCTGCCAGTCACAGTCAAATATAGTTCTCACATTGCTCGCCGGTAATGGACGATTAGCCGATCAGAGCATACTCAGGGTAAACTAGCATTAGTAGGAACTTAGCCAGCCACGGCAAAATATCCACTGCCTTTTTAATATACCTGACATTTTCGATGGAAACAAAGGTTAGGTTAGGTTAGTCCCCCCCAACATTATAAGATAGCTATATTAGGACAACAAAATTATGTTTTTCCAGTGGTTTTTGAGGAGTTTCAAACAATTATAACCTTCATTTCCGTCAGAAATCACTTGTTTTGGGGGACGGGTAGAGGGCAGCCCAGGTGGAGTAGGGCAATTAAAAGCAAATTTACCTTACTATATGTTGATTCAAGCAACCTTCTTTCCATATCTTATAGGTGTAGATAATGGCTACCACCATTAGTTGTTTGTTGAGTTTCTTAATTTTTGTTGTACTTACCGTTTTGATGATTTTAAGTATATTAAAAGAAACGAAAACTTTCTATTATGATTTTAAGGGTTATATTTTACTCTATCTCACTTCACAATTCTCCTCCCGGCGACACTTTCGTTGGTTACCTCGCTGAATCCCACTTCAAGAGACGTTTCCTATAAATGATGGCGAACTCTTCCACAAATTCCTCCTCGCCATTGCTGATGTATATCAACCTCAATATTAAGGTAAGTTGTTTAACACAAATTAACACGATAATGCAAAGAACCTATTAAAACCTGACCTAACATACCCAACCTAAGGGTATGGGTATGTTAAGTCAGGTTCTATTATGTGCTATGCATTGTCATTTCCATTTTTGTGTTTAATATCATAGTGTAGAAAAAATTAAGTGAATTTTTACTTTCAGACAAGTCCCTAGGGAATGACCAGGATGTTTTTCCTTTGAATTTTGGGATTTTAAACGACTGACCTTCATTTTGGCGGAAATTGCTCTTTTTTGCCCCACCCCACCCCACCTCAACAATAATGGGGGAGAGCCTGGGAAATGGGGGTTTTGGGTGGGAGAAAACCTGAAAACAAGTCGTCTAACCTAACCAAGCATAACCTACCCTAACCCCTAGCTTAGCTTAAACTAACCTAACTTCTACAAATGGGTTCAAATGATTCAAAATAATGACCTCTAAATGTTTCAGTAGTTTTAAACTTTCGGGGCGAGCCACGTCCAAAAGTACAATACCTTAGTTAGAAGTGTTTGGACCAAGGATAGGTTCAAGGTCAACAAGGCAATTTACAGTATGGGCACTCTACAGACGTAGGGAGAACACCGTGATTATGTAGGAATGGGATAGTTTGATCGTTTTTCTCGTAAAACTCCACAAACTTAAAATATCGTAGGTGCACAATTCACACCCAACCTCTACCACGGCCATTCTCACACCGGTCATTTAAATTTAAATCATTCAAATCCGTACCTTGACTCATCCCTTTGAAAAAATTAAATTTTGATTGGTCTAAAAAAATTGGCGTGACGAAATCGATACATCATCGGTCGCGACTGGAAGACGTCATGCATGCGTGATGTAAACACACTTATAATTCGATCCCACTAATTACCCAAATCAACCCAAATGTAGCCACAATGAAGTCAAATGATGGTCATACAAGCGTAAATCAGGCTGTGAATCACTTCTCGATTAGTATTTGGTGTCAGTCACAAAAAATTGGTAAACTTAATTTAATCTGAGTTAGGTTAGGTTAGGTTAGGTACATGCACTCGATCTATTAACTCAGATTAAATTAAGTTTACCAATTTTTTGTGACTTTGACACCAAATACTAATCGAGAAGTGATTCACAGCCCGATTTACGCTTGTATGACCATCATTTGACTTCATTGTGGCTACATTTGGGTAATTAGTCGGACCCCTTATAATTAGCTCGCTTTCACGACGATAACATCTCCTCACATAGATGGCTGAAAAATACGCAAAATCAATTAAATTCAATTGTGTCGCTATTATCCATTTCCGCCAGGTATATATGAGGTTCAAAATGCTCAGAATAAAGAGATCTAAATGTTTCAGTAGTTTATAACATTGAGGCGCGCTTTGTCCGAAAGTAAAATAATACAACAAATTTCAACCAATTCGGACAATTCCTTGTGGTGGTCGCCGTTATCTGCACCTTTACCAGGTAATATACAAGTAACATGACTAGGATATTACTTACGTCTCCTTATCACATGGAAATTACACAAATCCTCTGTTCACTACCATCGGTAACTGGTACACAAAACATGAAACGCTGTTCTTTCTCAACCAAACTATAAACACAGGGGTGGGTCTTTGGCTGTATCCACCAGATTAAAAATACAGAGACAAAGTTAAGGAAGTATAAGAGGCTGGCCAGTTTCTCACGTTTTCCTGGTAATGAAACAATCGACCAGCCGCACGCCGTGGTCCCTCCAGCTCAAGGACTCACCTCACCCTCTTACTCATAATATAACTCCGTCCTACCACCATTCATTAACTCACCAGACAGTGTCACAGTCTCTCTTTGTGGTGCAGCGTCGCCAAACTGAATATCTACAACAGGGGAACAATTATTCGTTAGAGCGGGAAGCTTCCAGACGACACCTAGTAGCGGCACGAGAGTCCCCTGGCGGCCACCACCCTCAACACCGCCGCCTTCAATACATTTATTCACACCAACACATACACTAAATACCTTATAATTATTTTAACGAATCACACCGTGAACAATATAATAAAATCCTCTACACCAATTATATTTTCTATTCGTTCATACTTTTATTCTCACATTAATGTGCATTTACACAAATATACAATTTCCGGCGGGACTTTTAAACATGGCAATCACTCTTTCAATAAAAGGGATTGCCTCAAGTATGGTGGTCGGCAGCTACAGCCATCCAATCCAAGCATTTTCAACAAGCCTTTATTAAAAATTCCAAACTGTGTATACTGTATATGTGGTGATCCAATGTTGGACAGTATTTCTTTCATCGATCTCAATCACTGCCTTCCCTTGGAACTCCCACCCTCAGTTTTACAGTTATACCCTAATTTATCTCCATAGCAGCCAATAGAGCCAGAGCAGACCAAGAGAGAGAAGAAGGCCGATTTCCTTCCTTCCACGCCTTCAGCTGGTAAACTGTAGCATAGATCTACAATTTGTTTGTGGTGCCACAAAAAAGTGGCTGCCACAAGCCACGTTTTGTGCTGAGGCCGATGGATCACAGAGACCTTTTTCCAGTCGCTGGGACTTTTTGCTCGTTCATGATTTTAAGGGGCTTTGCAAGCTCGCTGCACAACTCTCATAATATTCTGGAATGTACACTATCAGGGTCGGGGCTCTTACGAACCCTAAGCATTGATAATTTGCAGTGGCGTAGCTAGAGTGTGTGCCGCCCGGGGCGGCCCTTGAGTTTGCCGCCCCTCCCCCCCCCCCGTGCCCCTTTATTCTTGTTTAATACTTCCTCTCTTGCCTTTCTCTTTTTTCTATACGCAGCACCACTTTCTATAGCTCGCTTCATCTGGGGACAGAGTGATAGACGTATAAAACATTAATTTTTCGAGAAATAAATTCACACTGCATGTTTAAGATTAAAAGATAAAAAAAATGAAAAAAATGACGAGAACTTTAAATAAAAGTGATGAAGCTAAATATCACAAGTCACAAATTCTACACTTTTGACAAATAACACATTCAGAAAAAAGCTCTGTGTAGCAAAAGAATGCTTTTGTGAATTTACAAAAAAAAATTCAAAATGTATTACGTACATTATTTATTATTACGGCATTGAATAATATAAAAAAACGCTATTCCAAAAGTAATATGCATAGGAAAACATTTTTTCTTAAATAGCATTTCCTCAGCAAATGCATAATTTTGATATATTTATTATATATATATATATATATATATATATATATATATATATATATATATATATATATATATATATGCTGATAACCACAAGGAAAGAAAAACAGAAGTTCCCAAAGCTTTGTAATTCACATCTTCAGGGGTGAGTACAGACTCAGCATATATACCTAGATCACCACCTACAGTGATTTACTTGCATATATATATATATATATATATATATATATATATATATATATATATATATATATATATATATATATATATATATATATATATATATATATATATATATATGCACAATAACCACTGGAGAAAGGAAAGACAAGCAGCAAGTACTTTCGTTTAATACATCCTCTGCCTGAGGATGTATTAAACGAAAGTACTTGCTGCTTGTCTTTCCTTTCTCCAGTGGTTATTGTGCATCTATTCTTCATGGTGATGTGAAGTTCCTGCATGCATATATATATATATATATATATATATATATATATATATATATATATATATATATATATATATATATATATATATATATATATATATATTATTTTAGGTTAGGTTAGGAATCCGTTACATAAAACAATTGTACTGCACCGTTATCTTTTATTGAGTATGATCTAAAATCACGGTATAATGTCACACTAGTGCCATTATCATCTAAAATGATTAAAATCACAGCAATGTAAAAATAACAGCTTGATCTAAAATCACGGTATAATGACACTAGTATCAATGTAATACAATGGAAGTGTAAAAAGTAGCAACTTAATCTAACATTACAGACTCAGAGTACAGTGAAAATGGATGTCTGACATAAGCCCCCCCGACGAAAGCCCCCCAGAGAAAAGCCCCCTACTTTGATCGGGGTGGCTTTTGTCTGACAACCCTAACCCTAACCTAACTTAACCTAACCCTAACCTAACCAATAATTAACCACAGAGAAGAACAATATATTTTACCCTCAACTATTTAATTATGTCCGTAACTTTTGAAAGCCCTTACTGTTGTCAGACAAAAGCCACCCCGATCAAAGTAGGGGGCTTTTGTCTGGGTGGCTTTCGTCTGGGGGGCTTTTGTCTGGGTGGCTTTTGTCGGGGGGGCTTTTGTCTGTACCCCAGTGAGGATAGTGTCTTAGTATAAAATCGCAATGCTGTGAAACAAAATCTTAATATTTAATCTCAGTACCGCAGCAAAAGTCACATCAATATTTTTTAACCAATACTTTAATATCTCTTACCTTATAGTATTATGTCTTCCAACGAAGTAAATAACTGGATCGAAAACACAAGAGAACTTAAAAGTCGTCTAGCCTCCCCTCGTCTTGTCACGATGGAGACTTGTGCAGAACTGAAGTGAATTGCTTGTAACTGGTGGATTGGTCGGCTGTACATGAACTGATATGACCCGAGACTGCATGGTTTTGCAGCTACTGGAGACGTTAATCCTTCCCTTTGTATCGGCGGCAAGTTAATCCTCGTCGTGTCTGACCTAACACCTGACCCACACCACATGAGCTCACTGGCGTACTTGTTTGAAGTTGTTTCCTTAATCCTCAACAGGTTACAGGTTGTGTGTGTGGCGGGGGGGGCGCATAGCAAGGGTGTAGCTCATGACGTGGCCGTGATGATGTGGGTCAGGTGTTAGGTCAGACACGACAAGGATTAACTTGCCGCCGATACAAAGGGATGGATTAACGTCTCCAGTAGCTGCAGATATGGGTGATGAGCAGACCCAAAAGTGCCGCCCGGGGCGGACCCCCTAGCTACGCTAGTGATAATTTGTTTCTAATACGCTCTTCTGGTGTTAATTGTGCTGCCAAACGGTTTTCTTCAAACTCAGAGAGGTTTTTCGCATCCTTCATTTTGAATACTGGGTAAAATAATTTATTTCACCTCCCCCCCCAAAGTCCTGCTGGTCTGAGTGTGCGCTGTACGATCCTCAATTCTTTGATTTGATACGCCCACACCACCACACGGTAGTAAGTGCACACGTGTCTTTGATTTCGATTCTGAGTGATGGTAGAAAGTCTTATGGTTTGACGATCTCGTTTGCAATCCGCCTTTGGAACCCCTTTTCAGTTCTTTTACGCCATGACTTATAAGTACAAACCCACAGAAGAATTATATTAGCCTTGCCCATGTCTGCGATTCACCATCTATTCTATATATCAGCCATGAGTGCCACCTTTCCTTGTCTGAATCTGATGAGGACCCCCATCAAATTTGTTGTTAAGGTCTGGCCCTTGCATCACCTGGCTGTTCAATGACATCAACTGACATTTGGCTGCACAATCAAAATTATTTTCACCTTTTCTGGCTTGTTGGGATTCAACATGGGGTGGTGTGAGATACCAGGTTTTCCCGGGTGTAACACTGAGTTCTTGATGTGGGACTCGCTCAGCATGTCCCTCGTCGACTAGACGTCTCATCTCTTCTTGATACCTCTGAGAAAGCCTTGGGTTCTTTAGGAGGCATTTTCGGACCCGCCAATCGCTGTTCAGCAAGCTTCTTATTGTCTGAGAGTTCCGATTCTTCCTGGTGAAACAACAATGACCTTGGGGATAGTGATGGATAGGCTCTTTCTTTCTCCTATGCTAACCACTTTTACACTGATCTCTTCGGCGTTTACACTACTTCTTTCTTTCATGATTGTGCCAATGGGGAGGGAAAAACTGGCATTCCCTCTGTTTGCAGCCTTGGTACTGCTCGTCAGATACTCCCGTGAAGTGTAGAAGCCTCGAGTGTACTCCAGAGCAGCCACCTATACCACACACCATCTTCTGGCTGCACTCCGTAATCCGGTGATTACGACCCAGGCTGGAAAAGTAGCGACATTCTTCCCCTACGAGGGAAGTTCACTTCCCTGTGGACATGCTGAGGAATGTCCGACACATCTAAAGGTGATCTCCGTGGCATAACGAGCAGCGTTCATCGTCCGTTTCTCTGGTTGTCTTCACCAGACCCACAAGTTTCTTCCTCGACGAGGATTGGCATGAGGATGAGCATGCATATATTCAGCTTGGTTCCTCCGGTCCTTGTCGACCATATCCATAGTGAATTCCAACATCCACTCGATTCCAGGAGGCTTTCCTTGCTCCCCTTTGTATTTATGCACATTATTCACATAGTCGTCACTTATGGTTCTTCATCAACGTTAGTGGTTTCGGTGAGCGAGTTTGATGCTTGGAAGTACCTTTTAATGCTCGGAAGTACCTCCGCACTCCCCCTGGTGAAATATTCCCGGCTCCGCAGTTAAGGTGAGCGTCGGGAGTCCTCTTGAAGTATATAGCGTTTCTTTGTCAGTTTCGGTTTCAGGAAGGTCGTGTCTCTGGTAGTGATAACACCTTTCCGCAATCCTCTGTTGTTGTTGAGATTGTCGGACCGTAGTCCGACACGGACCTTTTCCTGTAGGCGGCCCGTTTGGTGGTTCCGGGTGGAGCCCTTGGAGCAGCCAAGCCGGATTTGGGATTGGGGATGGAGGTTATCCTACCTGCAGGTATGAAAGGATACTGCAGGTTTGCAAGTGTAAGCGGACCCCCGTTCAGTGAGCGCTTACCACCAACCCCCACTCTTGGACGCGGTCAGTTTCGGAGTGGCGAGCCCCCTGAACTGGGGTCCGCACTTGCTAGGGAGGATACTTCCTAAACTATCTGGGTGATGACCCGGAGAAGGTGGTGCGTGGTTTGTTTGGGTCTTTAAGATTGCTACTAACTCTGTTTGTAGCGTGGAGCACTCATTAGAAGTTTCCAGCTGTGGGTCTGACCATGGGCGTAGAAGGCCACTCCGGATCTATGATATTTTGGGTCCACCGAGCTATCTGTGAAGTATGGTGCTGCATCGGCCGGTGTTCAGTGGCTATGGGTTCCTGAGTGTCAATGCTTCCGGAAAGTGGGTATGACGGGTGGAAACACGTTCCCTCTCCCTCCAATGGGATGTTCCCGTCCCTGAAGCGCTGAGTGTTGGGAATCCTCCTTGGGTGGGTGTCGAGGTGTAGCAGCGAGACACTCCTGATTCCGGCGGTTGACAACGTGTGTCCCGCGCATACCTCGTTGTGGTTGTCATCACTTCACTCGTTTCCAGAAAGGGTTTTCCTCATGGTAATGACAGCATCTCACCAAAGTCCTCCGTTTCGCCTAAAGTCTGAAGTTGCTCCATATGATCTTTCATATTCTGCATCATTGCCATCAATTGGGCGAGCGTCAGCTGTTAATCCCCCGATTACCCTGGCTGTGTGAGTGACCGGTTAGCATTTCCGTCGTTCAGGTCCTCCAGGTCTTCTATGCTGGTTAGGCTGGTCTCCTCTGCTTTGTTTCCTTCCATGACTGGTGACACAGTGGACAGCTATAGAGACGTTCGGTTAAGCAGGAACGCTCTTCAACTGACACGTCTGCTTGTTTATAAAGATGTCATATAACTGAGGTTATACAAATGATGTCATACAATCTGAAGTCATGTAAGCGATGTCAGACAACTGAAGTCGTATAAGCGATGTCATACAACTGTAGTAATATAAGCGATGTCTTACAATCACGACCACAATGAGACTCGAGTTGATGTCACACAATAGGAGTTGATGTCACACAGTTTCAACCTGTAATACAACTGAAGTAATATAAGCGATGTCATACAATCACGACCACAATGAGACTCGAGTTGATGTCACACAGTTTCAACCTGTAATACAACTGAAGTAATATAAGCGATGTCATACAATCACGACCACAATGAGACTCCGGTTGATGTCACACAATTGGAGTTGATGTCACACAGTTTCAACCTGTAATACAACTGAAGTACGCACGAGTGATGTCGCACAAACACAACCACAGTGATGTCATACACGAGCGACGATATCACACTAACGCGCCCACAGTGATGCCACACACGAACGACGTCCTTGCTTGAATACTGAAATAGATACATTCCATTGAATGTATTCTATTTCGTATTCTCAACCTGTAATACAACTGAAGTAATATAAGCGATGTCATACAATCACGACCACAGTGGTGACACACGAGCAACGTCCCTAAGACACGTGAAGTGCAATACGCACGCACGAGTGATGTCACAAACACGACTACAGAGAGACTCGAGTTGATGTCACACAATTGGAGTTGATGTCACACAGACGCGTGCCATGCGCACGAGTGATGTCACACACGAGCTAGGATGTCACACTAACACAACCACAGAGACCCACAATCAATGTAGGGACTCGTTTCACAACTGATGTCACAAACACTACTGTGGCGCCCTTAAATGTACAACGTTACGGCTTGTCACAACCTTCGTTGTTATTTCTTAATTACACACACACATACATATATATAAATATATATATATATATATACATATATATATATATATATATATATATATATATATATATATATATATATATATATATATATATATATATATATATATATATATATATATGTGTGTGTGTACATATAACTTGAATGTTGTACACATTTAACCCGCAAATCCCTTTCATTTATGTATTTCTTCATGGTTCCTTATCATCATTGTTTGACTTAAATCTAAATGTAACACCAACGTCTTATATAATTACCGTGAAATATACTAAGACTTATATACGTTCACTTACGATAAAGACAAAGTAAAAGTTAATGAATCTTATCAGAATTATGTATCTGTTAAGCGAAACTTTGTGATTATTTTCTGAAGTTAATTTTGCGTTATGGTTGATATTTGATATATTATGGTGTCACTGGTATAGGAAGATCAGGTGTTAGTTATAATCACTTGCGTGCGTGTCCGAGCGAACCCTAACTACCCGTCCGCTCAGACCAAACATTACGACACTGTCCGGGTGTTCTGAAACCTTAGCTCACTAGGTGCCGGCCTCCCTGTCCGGAAATGAACGCTCACAGCCCCGTACGCGCAGACCGAAGCTTTACGACACTGTCCAGGTATTTAAGACAATTCACTCAAACACAGAGCACTCGCTATCACTGTTTCCCTGCTGACGACGCACGTGCACCCACTGTGGGTGGGTGGGTGATCCACCCATTATGGGTGGGTGGGCGATCGACGAGCCTATGCTCTCCCACGCTGAACTCCGGCGTTGGTCCTTCGACAGCCCTCCCGTATACGTTTTGACTGTTAACGCTCATAGGAGCGTTATTGGTTTGTTGCTGGAGAAATAAACCCTCAACGTTGACGCGTACCATATAATTCGGTCAAAACCTGTTAAAGAACAATTCACATATAACAAATGCTGTTATCTCAGGACACATAGTATGAATAATACAATCAATATACAGTACATAGCCTGTTAACATCTTAAGTATAACTCACATGTTACATCTGTTGATACAACAGGAGACAAGGTGTATAATATGATCAAATTACAGTACATAAATATACTTATTAAAGTTATTTAGAGTTTATATTTACGTTTTAGGGTCTTGGGTTCGACCAGCGTGTTGTTTCTTCTGCAAGAATTGGTAGACTACTGAGCAATCGCCATCCAATCACAGCCCTAGGCGAGGGCCATCTGTTTTATATTAGACACGACCAACAAACACGTTGTCACCACTTTTACTTTTACTTTTATCCTCTTCGCCACTGATCGGCTTGTTAGCCGCTTGGGCGATCGGTCACGTCTCTTTTCATTTATCTTCTTCACCAAAAGATCGGCTCGCTAGCCGCCCGGGCGATTGGTCACGTCTCTGTCACGCACTGTTGGCAAATACTGGGCATGCACCGGCTCCTGAATGTACCTGAACCCGCTCCAGTGTTGGTCAAATCTTGTCTTGAAAGAGCTCACACTCGGTGCCGTCACAACACTCTCTGGTAGATTGTTCCAAGAGTTCACGGTTTTCTGGACTTGCGGCTTCTTCAATCTTGAGCTGTGACCCCTTGTGGGGCGAGCGTCCGCCAGCTCCAAGTAAGGACACTCAACTGAGTAGTGCCCCCGGAGATGCTTATACACCTCAACTAGGTCCCCCCTTGCCCGTCTGTAGTATAAGCTAGGCAAGTTCAGGCGCTCCAATCTCTCAGGGTAGCTGAGGTGCCGAAGTGCAGGCACCAGTCTGGTGGCCCTCCTTTGAAAATTTTCAACCAACTGACAGTCCCTAGCATATCTCGGGGACCAGATGGGGTGACAGTACTCCAGATGGGGAAGCACTTCACTCCTGAAGATCGTTACGAGGGACGGACCGTCTAGATATCTGAACGACCTTCTTATAAGACCCAATAATTTATTTGCCTGATTTACCTTCTTCTCACAATGGCCCGAGAACTTCAGCTCATTGTCAACATACACACCTAGGTCCTTCTCACACACAGTCTCAACAAGTGCAGTTTCTTCCCGTTGGGACATATGATATGCCTCCTTACCGTTGGTACGCCTCAGGTGCATCCTCTTACACTTCGTGACATTGAATCTCAGCAGCCATTTCTTCGATCATTCCTGGGGCCCACAGAGGTCCTTCTGCAGCTCTTCACAGTCCGCCTTCTCACCCTCTCTCTCTCTCTCTCTTTCATGTTTATCTTAGTGTGGCGGAAACGTCTCAACCTCTCTCTCTCTCTCATGTTTATCTTACTGTGGCGGTAACATTACTCTATTCCTATCTATCGATTTTTATTTGGTCCAGTTTTGATCGTGTTATCATATGTTGAATGGAAATCAGAGGATAACAATATATAATGAGTGAGCCTGTATTATCAACTCTTTTTAAATGGATAGGAAAAATCTTAAAAGACAAAAACTAAAAAAAAAGGGTTTATCATTGACCGTATCTGCCTACTTGTCTCGCGGCCAGCAAGGTGCAATGTAAAATCTGCTAGTTGGTAACTCGGGCTGAAGGGCGAAACAGTAAGATACAATTAAACTATGTTTAAAATATCTTAAATGTGATATATACATCATAGTAAATACAATTATTTTATTATGTCCTTTTTATATAAAATTTAACCACTCTAGTATAAAGTGACTGAATAACGCAAAACATGAACTCGAAAGTGGAGTATACAAATGGCAACGTGTCCGGAAAAGATGTTAGACGTTTACAAACTTGTATATTGTACGTATTATTTCTACAATTGTGTATGGATTGATAACTTTAAAGTTAAATAAATGATAATTTAAATCATACAGTATTATTATTAAATTATAACGACACATAAATATAAACGTTATATAGTATTTTAATTAGTTCAATATTTCAACTGGCAATTGTACATTGGCGTCCCTCGGAGGCTTGAGAATACAAAACATACGTCAAGCAGCACGTGAGTGTAGTAGTCTACTGATCCCAGCTCTGATCGGTTAATATCAACAGTGATCAAATTGTGTTATTTTTATTGTGAAGAACATCTCAAGAAACTTGCTGCCACTTTTATATCTTGAGGAAAATATAAATATTTTTCATTCCTAATCCATTTAAGTACTGCAACAAGAATTACTCATAATATTCTTAACGTACGCCGGAAATCAAGTGAGCTACAGAACGTAAGTGCTCTTGCTTAAGAGCTTTAACAAATACTCGCAGAAACTACTTTACTGACGCTGACGACTACAGCTGCGCAAGATGCCACCAGTGTCAAGGAATTCACGATTGTCTCTCTCCTCCATCAGAGAAGAAGGTGAGGACAATTATTGGTTGTCTTGGAATCGGAAAATATATGTGAAAGTGATAAGCCATTTGGTGCTACTATAGTATGCGGTCTACCGAACTGGAGTTGTGTCTACCGGGACATTTAGACTAGCATTGGTTAGGTTAAGATAGATTAAGGTATATTATAGATTAAGGTATATTAGATTAATTTAAGTTAGGTTAATAGACGCAACAGTGTAAATATCCAGCTTGGTAGACCATAGTTGTATAGTAGCAGCAATCATTGACAGCAAAGACCATTAATTAACCTCCATATTCACCAGTTCTAAGATTACACTTCTTACTTGAGTATATGTGATTTGAATATTCATACCAATTTTCTTTTTATAGTGAAAGTACAGCACGTGCTGTACATATTGTGAAACTTCAAAGTAACGTGTCCATGTCAAACGTGTATCCCCAAATCCTGATTATCGTGGTTCATTAAGGCTCTTCTTTATTGAAACTAATAATCACCAGGTGTTCAGATTTCTTGACCATTTTTGTTGGTATTGGATATCCATCCGGCACTCTCCCGCCAATCCTAGACCTCATATTTGTTACACCAGCTTTACTTTATCCTCTTCGTCGCTGTTAGCCGCTGGGCGGTCGGTCATATCTCTGTTTCACACTGTAGGCAAGTACTGTATCGTACTGATACCAGAATGTATCTGTACCCAGGGGCGGATCCAGGAACGTCAAAAGAGGGTCCAAGAAGTTTTGGGTGGGGGGATCATAGCGAGCAAAACGAGCCCATCCAGCTGGGGGTCTTTAGGGGCGCCCTGTAAGCCCCTTCCCATATTTTTTTTTTATAATTTAACCTATATAATGGGCACTGTGAGGCCATATTGAAGTCATGTGCAATTAATATTAGGAGATATTCTGAGGTTAATAATAGTTACTTTTTACTCTACAAAAGCGCCTGAGTACAATACTGTATTAAAGAAAAATTATTGGAATTTGAGATGAAAAGGGGGGGGGGGTCCGGATCCGCCCTTGTTACCTGCGCCAGTGTTAAGTGGTCTTAAGGGGGTCCGACTTATTACCCAAATGTACCCAAATATAGCCGCAATGAAGTCAAATAATGGTCCTACATGAATAAATCGGACTGCCAATCACTTCTCGACTAGTATTTGGTGTCACAAAGTAAAAAAAAATTGGAAAACGTAATTTAATCTGAGTTAATAGATCGCGTGCATGTACCAAGGGAGCGAGTAATTACCCAAATGTAGCCGCAATGAAGTCAAATAATGGTTCTACATGAATAAATCGGACTACCAATCACTTCTCGACTGTTATTTGGTGTCACGAAGTCACAAAAAATTGGTAAACTTAATTTAATCTGAGTTAATAGATCGAGTGCATGTACCTAACCTAACCTAACCTAACTCAGATTAAATTAAGTTTACCAATTTTTTGTGACTTTATGACACCAAATAATAATCGAGAAGTGATTCACAGCCCGATTTACGCTTGTAGGACCATCATTTGACTTCATTCCGACTACATTTGGGTACATTTGGGTAATTAGTCGGACCGCATGCGCACGCGATCTATTAACTCAGATTAAAGTAAATTTTCCAATTTTTTGTGACTTTGTGACACCAAATACCAGTCTAGATGTGAATAGCAGTCCGATTTATTCATGTATGACCATTATTTGACTTCATTGCGGCTACATTTTGCTACACTTGGGTACATTTGGGCAATTAGTCGGACCGGTCTTTTTCTTTTAAGGAGCTCGCACTTGGCGTCGTCACAACACCCTGGAAGAATGTTCAGGGCCGGATTCAGGAGTGGGCAAAGTGGGCAGCTGCCCAGGGGCCTCCACAATCTGGGGGCCTCCACATATTACAATATTTTATTTATTTGTTTATTCATTTGGATTATTTTTACTTTCATTCTTTAAAATTCATGTTTATCTATTCCATCACGTAAAACTATGTTCAGCAAGAAGCGTGATAGAAATTAGGTTAGCTACTCCTTGAAATTCATGAATAATGCAAAGAATCATCTCTCTGTAATAACTAATAATATATTCTTTTCTGTGAAGTCTCTTGAAAATTTTTGACATGTGCGGTAGTAGCTATATCAGGGCTGGTCGACTTGAAACCACATGAATGACTCCAGTCATGTCTCACGTGTGTGTGTGTGTGTGTGCGTGTGTGTGTTGGGAATGTGTACACTCAATAAATATAGTTAATTAAAAATTTCTCAATGTTCTAATTTCTTCAATATAACTGCATATGGCTTCAAAATTCTCCAAAGAAGTGTTCAAATTTCAAAATTTTCCCGGGGGCCTTACAGCGCCCCCCGGAACTCCCAGATGTTTAGGCTCGCTTCACTCGCCACCCCACCCTCTTGGGTAGTTATAATAAGAGGGGCCTCCACAAAGAGGCTGCCCATGGGCCTCCACAGGTCTAAATCTGGCACTGAGAATGTTCGGTATTATTTACCTATTGTTCGAAGAGTTCATAACTTTCACTCCAAAAAAGCTTTCTGAACTTGTGGATATTTCAACCTGAAGCTGTGACCCTCGAGTGGGGCGGGTATTCGCCAGCTTCAGGTATGAACACTAGACTTGGAAGCATAATGAGTCATTACAGCATGCTTCGTAATGACTATTTTCGTGCTCATGTTTTTTATACATATTTCTGTTTAAACTAATGCCTTTAAGCGCGTACTCTAAATAGGTCCATACACTTGACAATAACTTTTAAATATCAAGGAAGATGGTCTTGTGACCTGTAGCGACGTCACTCAATAGCAGTGTTGTAATAGGCTGAAAAAACTTTTTGTAACAGTTGTGCGAATTTTACAGTAACATTCTTTAAATTGTTGCTACAGAACTACATAAGTGGTTTGGGTTAACCTCAAATGAGGCTCTCGTTGCTGTAAAAAAAACAAAAGAGCAGGCTTTTTGTAACGAAGTCTAGTTTAGCTTCTCTAGTGCAGTGGTGAACTCCTAGTTCCCACCTAGAAGTCCTGGGTTCAAATCCTTGGCTATTGGGGTATTGACACTATGGTCTTGGAGTCATTTATCCTTATGCATATCTCAGGAAAGCATGTAAAGAAGGATATTGGTGCAGCACAAGAAAAAAACTCGTTATTATGCACCAAGTCTATAGTTAGTTTAAATAACACCAATATAGTTCAGATTACAGTAATATGGTAGAAGTAGTTTCGCATAACTGGTGTAAATTTTACAATGAATCACATGTACAATGGTTGCCATGTGGTGATAGTAATAAAGATTATGCCTTAACCTAAATACGAATAAAAGATGGATAAAAACTGTGTTATCTCGTGTTATGCTTAACAAAGGAATCAACTTGCTTTATAATCCTTTTCTATGTGAATTACTGTCCCCAAATTTCGTTTTTTGTTGCGAGTCGTTGTCCTGAGAAGTGCTATACGTATGCAAAATATCTTACACATTGTCATACTAAAACGTGAATGTGAATATGTACTAGATTATTCTAAATTTTATCACGGCGATCTTGTGTGGCCTCTGAGAAAGGTCTGAATTTCTCCTTGGTATTTGGTTTTTCTTTACTATTTAGTTTGGTACGCGAGGTTAAACACAGCTGTCTCTAGCACTGCTTTTATCCAGAGAAGAATAAACATTGCCAGTACAGTACCAATAAGTTGACTTCGAAATTGCGTGACTAACCTGTACAGTATTTGTTTGAACATATGAAACACCGTTCTTTGAGTTTCTATTTTTTTTATTAATATGATGCCAGGAAGAAATATGACAAATGTTGTTGTCTAATGATATTCACAGAGGTGTCCCCTTGCCAAAAAGCTGAAGATATTTGAAGAGGGATGTTTTGAACCGATGGAGGTTATATGTGAGGGAAATCACTGTGACAGGGAATTCTAGTGCTAGTCAGGGTTATATATATATATGTATGTATGTGTGTGTGTGTGTGAGAGAGAGGAGAGAGAGAGAGAGAGAGAGAGAGAGAGAGAGAGAGAGAGAGAGAGAGAGAGAGAGATTTGGTAGTTAGAGGTTCTACAAAACGAAATTTCATCCATCAATAAGAGACTGGGCCCTCCTAGATACTCCCGTAGGCCGATGGAAGGTGTAGAAGTATCTAGAGAAGTCGGAAAGCAACAGAATAACCCAGCGCATGTACAATGGTGGAAATTTTCCACAAAGAATTGTTCTTACGTTTTTTATTTATTTATTTACTTTCTTTTACACCGATTCCATGAGTCGAAGCGCCATTTAGCCCATAGATCTTAGCAACAGAAAATATTACTGTCAGACCAACGTAGTTTCGGTGGAATTGTCTTTGAATAAAGAACCTCGAGCAAGGTATTATTTGGTGTAGTTATAATTACCCCAGTCCTCCCAACTCCCTTTTGTGGTGAGAGCAGGGGAGTGAGATGCGACCGGGCGGCGCCGTAACTTGAGTATTGAGTAACCCACAACATCTAGACAGGGATACGTACAACCTGCGTATTTACCTGTGTTAGACACGGATGTTATACGCTCTAACCCAGTGGTTCTCAACCTTGTTTGCCCCATGCACCCCTTTCACCATATGTCAGAATGTCATTCCCCCCTCCTTTCCAAGATTGTCTGCCTCAAAAAGTGCATTCCAAATAATATGCATATAATACTGAAAATCCTTTATTTTTTCCATATTAGTATCAGTTTCACCCCCCCCCCTGAAAACCTGAGGGGGGAAATTCCCCCCTGGTTGAGAACCCCTGCTCTAACCAGAGATGACTAGATTGTGCTGGGCAGCAGGGAAGGAGGGAGAGGACTATTTAAGTCTCATTAGCGCAGAAGTTCTGTCGCTGATAATAAGGAGGTTCTGGTGTTCAGTGCGGAAGGAAGATTGCACTAGATGTTTGACTTAAATCCAAAAAATATAACGTCACAAAATAATATAATAAATGCAATAAAATATACTTCGAGAATATGCGCTCGTTTAAGACAAAGTTACCAGACAAAAGTAAGATATACATGTATGT